GCACTGTGATTATAATTTAATTATATTATTATTATTATTATTGTTATTAATATTATTATTATTATTATTATTATTATTATTATTATTATTATTATTAAAATATAAAGTGTGAACAGGCCTTAAGATACAGGTATTAGGCAACATTCATACTGGTTCTTAAGTCAGTTTTGAGTCAAACATAGTTGAGGACTCTGTGCCAAATTTTGATCGTTCAGAATATGTGAGTTGCCCTTACTCAGCCAGCAGAAATATCGCCGAGCTACATTGTGCTAGCTGATTGGTCATATTTCGACCGGAAGTTGCAGTAAGGTGATAAACATTTTAACCCAAGGTCAATCTAGGGTCAATTCAAGGTCAACCCGGATACCTTGCTTAGGTTGTGTTGTCTGAGTTGAGAGCGATTCCATGCCAGGTGGGAGTCAAGTCAGGCTTGTTCACACTAGAAATTTCTCCATCGGACTTAGTATTAAGCCTGCCTAATCTTTCGAGTCTCACAGTACAGTATCTGAGTTTTGTCTGGCTTGAACATCCAGTCTGACCGTGGCTATGCAGCCATGTTGTATTTGGTTTGACATTTGCTTTCTTTTAGGGCAAGTCTACCCATTAAGCCTGCTGGATGAGATGATGCTGGATGTGATTAACATTAACGGAGGAGATTTACCAAGTACAGGTGATAAAGTGTTGCTGCAAGCTGCAAAGATAACAGAAACAGGTGAGAGGATTGCCAATGCATTATTGACCCTTGTGGTTTTTTGATACCCCAGGGAGATGTGATTAATCATGGAGTTGAAGAATACAATTTTTCAAATATATTAATAAATTTAAAAAAAAAACAAATCTCCTTTATTTTTGTTGAAGTCAAGTTGGCATTGGTACTCTGTAAATCATTGACTAATGTAAAGTACATTTGACTTTAAATGCCTTGTGATATAGTTTTAGGGTTGTGCTGTTGCCACAAAGATTGTTAGAAAGAAACCCCCCCCCCACCCTTCTGCCAGCGTATTCATGCTAACTCCATTTTTGTGTAACAATCCATAGTGAATTTGGCACTCATCAGGCTGAATTTTCAAAATTTGGAAGGGTGAAATCTCTAGTAAATTTACTGGGGTTCTTTAGCCCGTGTGGCCAAATAACGGTAACTATGGATACTGTAAGGATTCAGAGGACAAATTTCATGGGGGACTGCAATCACTTTGATACCTGTTGGTTTAGAGAAGTTACATTATTTTGCTTCGATTTTAATTGATGTTATTTATGTAATGTACTATATTTTTTATATTTTTAACAATATAATATTTTTTTACTTTGTTCTGTTTATATTTGAGTGTACAAATGTAATCAAAATTACCATAATGTAAAATAGCTTTGCATGAAATGGCTCCAATTAAATAGGTAAAAAAGGCAATCATTCATTACCATCATTGGCATGAATCATTATGAATTACTATTATTATCTCTTCCAATATTTTTATATAAATTTGTTTTCTCTGTTCTAGAACAACTTCAGCTTCTAAAGAAATTTCTTGACTTCTGTTACCCTGGTATAATGATGGGTTTAACAGTGTTCACTAAAATCATGACTGAACTTGGGGTGAAAAAAGACCAGTTCAAGGACTTGTTTCGGTAAGTGAAATTGCTTCAATGAGTCAATCCATCAATCAGTCAGTCAATCAATCAATCAATCAATCAATCAATCAATCAATCAATCAATCAAGCATTTTATATAGCACCAGAATTCATAAACCAAATATAGGTGCACAAACAACAAGTTAAGTTTATTTTCTTTTCATGCGGAAGAGAATTCCAGAGACAAGGTGGACCACATGACAATGCTTGCTTTCCAAAGATTCCAATCCATTTCTTGACACAAAGAGGAATTGTTTCTTGGAAGAACAAAGAGTTTGGGATAAAGTTGAAACTTTAACAATGCTTTAAATATACATAGAGTACTTCAAACCTTATTTGAATATTGTTTACTATAATTTGCAAGCTGCGACTTACATAAGCTTTTTATATGTTAACCATAGCTTCATTATGTGTGAGTATTTCAGTCAGTTGTGTAAGAGAAAGTGCTCGGGGTTAGATATGTGTGTATAACCTGTAGGTCTCCGTGGTCTAATGGGTATGATGATACTATTTTTATATCATACAACTGAATAAAGGAATTTTTCGTTGAAGGGCTATGCTTTGTATGATTATAATATCATGTTCCTATTTTAGCACTGTTATTACAATTAAGATATATAATTCTTCAGATGGTAACAAATTTGAAGCATAGATTTTATTAATAACCACATTTTCAGAGTTAGTGTGAATGTCTTTTTATATTCCCAGGTCATTCAGTGTTAAGAAGCTAGGCTATCTAACTCCGCGTGAGTTTTTGTTGGGCGTGGCAGCGATGCAGCCAGATACAGCTCACGGTGGCGTACCTGCTGAGATCCGTTGTCGATACATTTTCCGATTTTATGATGCCAACCGAGATGGCTTCTTAGAGTACAGCGAGTTTGAGTATGTACAAAATGAGAATATATTTATGGCTAAAGTGTTTGTGTGAAACATGATTGGACCTGTGGTTAGGATGCTTGTCTTCCAATCTTAAGGTTTTAGGTTCGAACATTAGAAAAGCTGAGATTTTTCCCACAACTAAACACAACTGTGCTTCCCTAGCCTCACCAAAATTTGAATGATTCAAAATTGTATTTTTTTAAATTTGTGCCAGCAAGTTTTCACTGGTGGATCATATACACACACAAAAAAGTAAATTAGTATAAAAAGTATCAATCAAATAACAGAAATATGAAGGGGAAAAATGCACTTAACAAAAGAACCAAATTTAGTTTCGATGAAGGCAAAAGAACAAAATAGTGCAAGGAAATACAAAATATAATATAAAGTTTTGAAATTTTTAAATTGCCACTTATTATGATTGGTTTTAATTTTAGATAAGAATAATGTAACATTCAGAAAATAAGTATTTATATAAAGAAATATTCATAAGGTGCTTAAATACAGTTGAACTTGGAGCGTCATAAGCGTTTTCCTTTAAAGAGATCATTATTATTTCATTATTATTATTATTAAAAAATATAAATGATGCTTTAGGATGTAATTATGAGGACAGATGGATAGATTTATTTGATGTAATCACACCAAGGATAACCCATGTAAGTCTGAAGAAGACTTATTTTCAGTGGGGTCCTTCTTGTGGTGATTGGGCAGTACACAGGGAGACAATCCCCTACTCTTTTCCGAATAGTGTACTGTGTTCTTTAACGTGCACACAGGCCATAATGCACACGGGACCAACAGCTTAAATGTCTCATCCAAAAGACGGTGCGCTATTGTAACTTGTATTTCACCCTTCCAGCTGAAACACAAGAAGAGCAGCGATAGGAATAGAACCGGGGACCTAGAGATCTCCACAGTTGAGCGCACACACAGTGGCTACCACCAGTTTAGCTGAGCTAAGCTGCTCCTAATATTAAAACACCATACCAACATTTTCATTTTAAGTAGATGGTTTGTTGTTTTTTTTCCTAATGTATTTATTGTTTTTTTTTGTATAATTTTTCAGGTCAATGGTAATGGACATCAGAAAATTAAAAGGCTTACCAGTATCTCCAGAATTAGTAGAAAAAGAAGTCGAAGAAACTGCTAAGTAAGAGAGAACATTTGGGGCCTATGCGAAAACCACAGCATCAGTGACCAAGACAAGACAAATAACTTTTTAATATATATATATATATATATATATAGATGTGTATAAGAGACAGATGTTACACTTTTCAAGTCGCGTTTGAAGACACACCTCTTTTCT